CTAATTGTTTGCATATTCAGCTATTAATTAAATAAAATGATTCAATTTATTTATCCAACATTTAGAACCCATTTGGTAACACTAAAATCGTCTAAATCGCCTGATTCTACTGAAATTTATGAAATTCTGGCTTAAGTGACTGTGTTGGCTGATTTTGCTGTTTTATGAAAAAAATAAATTTAAAATATATTTTATTATTAAAATAAAGAAAAAATTATAAGTAAAAATAGCTAAAATGGCCCTCTACAGTAACTTCAGCTGAAACAGCCAAAACGTAACTCCAATTTTACCTTTTCTTATTATTACGCATTTCAGCGTGCAAAATCAAAAGTTACGTGTTTGGTGAAAAAGTTGGCTGGTAAGTCTCATAAGCCGAGTAACAGTGTTACGAAACGGGCTCTTAGTACTCGAACAAATAAATTTGTGGGAAAATTTTCTCTTTCATACGTAGTACTTTTAGGTATAAGAAGATAAGAAGATACGTAGCACTTTTAGGTATAAGAAGATAAGCGGAGTAATTATTGAGCGGGAAAAGTTCCTCTCATATGTAGTGTTTTTACGTATAAGATAAGATAAGATAAGCGAACTAAAAATTGAGCGGAAGAATTTGACTTTCATATGTAGAGTTTTTAGGTATAAGATAAGCGGACTAATAATTGAATGAGAGAATTTTCTCTCATATGTAGTGTTTTTAAGTATAAGAAGATAAGATGATTAATAATTGAGCTAGATACTTTTCCTCAAAAGCATGAAGAAGATTTTACTTTCTTTTACTTTGAATAATTATTGTAGATTTATAATTTTTTATATTCACTTATTCTACCCCATTTTTGAAATGATGTAAAATTGTAAGAAACTATTTTTATATTTAATCAAATCGTGAATAAAATTATATATATGGACCGTTTTTAATTTGTACTTTGATTATTACAAATCATCTATCATAATTATACATTTTTTATTATCTTTCATATGACACCAATATTTCATATATAAATAAAAATAAACATAAAGTTTAAAAACACGTGTTTTTAAAATGATATAGACCAGTCAGAAGGACTGTGTAATGGAACTAGATTGATTGTCTAAATGCTTGACAATCATGTCATTGGAGCAAGAATCATGTGTGAGAGCAATAATGGAGATGAGGTTTACATACATCAAATGTGTATATCCCCTTCTCGATCACTATGGCCTTTTTAAACTTATCAGAAGACAATTTCCTAGCCTATAATGGCCTCACATGCTATGACAATCAATAAATCTCAAAGACAATAACTGGAGAGAGTTGGATTATACTAGCCTAGACATGTTTTTAGTTATGGATAATTGTATGTGGCATTATCGAGAGTTCATAGTAGACATGGATTGAAAATTTTAATATGTAGTACATGATAAGGATGGAAATCATTGAACATTACTACGAATGTTGTATTCAAAGAGATTTTCCAAAATCTCTAACATGTAAGTTTAATATTTTAATTTTAATATTTATTTTATGAACTTACACTTTATGATATTGATTTAATGTATTCACTTATAAGAGCATTACCATTTTTTGAAATTGGTTTCCTTTTGTAATAAATTAGATCATGATTACAAATATATTCATCGATTATTTCTCGTGCGATTTTTTTAAAATTAGTTTCCTTTTGTAATAAATTAGATCATGATTACAAATGTACATGAACTCCCATGCTGAGTTGGAATTGAATATAACCCACAATGTCTACTCCTCTATCGATTTTGAGAATGCGTTTCTCACATGCCGACTCATCAAAGTTTTATTTCTCACGTATGTTTTTTATGGGAGGCCAACACATTTCTGCCAGGCTTCTATCCCACATTTTCTTCTTCTCACATGCACAAAGTTTTAACCTTCTCCTTCCATAACATTTTAATTTTGCCCAGGCTCCTTCCAAGTATCTTATTTTAACTTCTCGTAGCTACTATATCAACTTACCAAGAACGTAAAATCAACATCCAATTAGCTAGAAATTAAAGAAGTTCTAAGGTTAAGAAACAAATCCATGGGAAATTAAACATCGCCTCCATCTATTCTTCCACCTGAGACTCAGAGCTCATTGGCAACACATCATTGACGACCAGAATCACCATCATCAGGACCTGAAAGCAGGAAGGCGGAAACGAACGGTTATCATCATCTCCTAGAATTTTTATCCGGAAATTCGTTGGAGTGGGTGGCGCCGCGCCGCCGTTGGTCTCCAAGTTTACTTCCTTTTTTTTCCTCTGTCTTTTTTTTTGTTCTCCTTCACAAATCAGATTCACGCAACTCCCATTTTAATTTCAGACTACCACCAAACACCATGTATTATTTAACAATTTGTCTTAGGGTACACAACATGTACAAAAATTGTACATCATATAAAACCCCAAAAAATTACCATTCCATTTACCCACTAGCTTATTTCATCTCTTTCTTTCCCTCGCACTCCTCCTTCCTGTTACGTATTTTCACACTCAAAGAACCGGAACAAATTCACATTGTTCACTGGAGCTTCTTCTTCCTCTTGTTCTCTTCACAGCTCGACGGAGTAATAGGACAGAGGAACCGGAGTCTTGAGGAATGAATTGCAATCTTGAGGATATGACCTTCATTAGTAGTTACGACATGGGCGATTTTATGGGTGCCCAAGGAGACGAATCCGGGTCTGAACCTCCGGCGACACAAGATGAAGGTGAGCCCAGTACGAAAGACATCGGCGATGGAGAGGAAAAGTATAGTCTGGACATTGATGATGAAGAAGGTACGTCGAACGTAATGTCTATGTACACAGGCATTTGGATGTTTCAGTTCCTGTAGAACTGAATAACATTGTATTTGTATACTTTAACATCCATTTGTGTTACTCTATGATTATGAAGTCAAAGTATTGTATTTGATGTGTTATTTTTCATGTAGTAAATGTTTGTATTCTATTGCCTGTGTACACTGACATTACGTAGTACTACCTCAGTCCCAAAATGAACTTCCCATTTCGGATTACGATGCTTGACCGACGATAAAGCAACTCGATCCCTGTTCATACTCAGATTACTTTTAGTAAATAAAATTTACATATTGAGAAACTACATTAAACCCGCTACAAAGGCTGATAAAACAAATATAAATTTGATAAAAATTTGATATATAAAACATCAGATTAAGAGTAATTTAAGTTGACCATGTGAATAGTAACTGTGAAGTTCATTTTGGGATGGAGGGAGTAAATGTTTGTGTTGCTATTGCCTGTCCACAGACGTTTATATTCTCATTATTTGTTATATATGGCTTCACTCAGATCGGAATAACACAAATGTAGATGGTGGTACACCAGACGTCCATGTGGAAGTTGAGATGTTGTTTCCAGGAAAAGATGATGCCTATGATCACTATAAGAATTGCGCAAAACGTATAGGTTTTCCCATTAGAATTAGGAGCTAAATGAAAGACAAACAAGGAAACATAACAGGAATGTTAATCGAATGTGGCTGTGCTGGAAATAGTTTCAATGTCCACAAATTCTTTGTTTCCTGGACCTACTAGTGCAATATGTTGCAAGGCCTGAATCAAAGTCATTTCTGACTATGTCGGGTCATGCGTAATTTCGAAAGTGCAAGAAGAGCATACCCACCCCATGAGTCCTACCAAAACTAGAGCTTTTCATTGTAATAGGAGATTGACTATGAATATGAGGAGAAAAATTGAAATAAATACTGTTGCCGGAATACCTCTTCACAAAACCTACACCTCCGCCGTAGTAGAAGCGGGCGGTTATGATAAATTACAGTTCATTGAAAAGGATTGTAGGAACTACGTTGACAAGGTTCGTCGTTTGCGTTTAAGAAATGGTGATGCCATTGCAATTCAAAGTTTCTTTTGCAAAATGCAAGCGGAATGCCCTGATTTTTTCTTTGCTCTTGACGTAGATGAAGAATCGCGCCTTCGCAATGTATTTTGGGCGGACAAGCGGTGTCGGTATGCTTACAGAGATTTTGGAGATGTGATAACTTTCGATACAACGTATCTCACCAATAAGTATGACATGCCCTTTGCACCTTTTGTTGGAGTAAACCACCATGGCCAATCTATGTTGTTCGGTTGTGGTTTAATTTCAAGTGAGGACACCACCACATTTGTGTGGTTGTTTACAAAGTGGCTTGAGTGTATGGATGATTGTCCTCCCAGTGGAATTATTACCGATCAAGATAGGGCAATGCAAAATGCCATTCAATTAGTGTTCCCAAATACAAGACATCGGTGGTGTCTATGGCATATAATGAAAAAGGTGCCTGAGAAGATGGGAGGGTTGACTGATAAAGATGAAGTTAGTGTTTGTTTACATGATGTTGTTTACGACTCCCAAACAGGTGCAGAATTTGAGTTTGCATGAAGTTCAATGTTGCAAAGGTAAGCATTTCTTTTTTACAAGTTGTGTTCAATATCACAACTATCATAATATTCATCGTTTGTAATGTGCATGTTTCATCTTAATGACCATGAGTGGCTACATGTGCTTTACAATGAAAGACATCGCTGGGTGCCATGCTACTTGAGGCCAACTTTTTGGACAGGGATGTCAACGACCCAACGTAGTGAGAGCACTAACGCCTTTTTTGATGACTTTGTTCATTCAAAGACAAGTCTAAAGGAATTTGTTGACCAACACGGGCGTGCTTTGAAAAGAAAAGTAGAGAAAGAGTTCCCAGCGGATGCCAAGTCTTTCACTAAAATGATACCTTGTGTGACTATATATGCCATGGAACATCAATTGCAACAAATGTACACACTTGCAAAGTTCAAGGAGTTTCAAAGTGAAATGACCGGGAAGTTGTATTGTGACTTGTTAGAGAGTGAGGATGATATACATTACAATATCCGTGAAGACAAAAAGGTGAAGGATCTGATATACATTACCAGATCCACATCCTTCAACTACGAAATACGTAATATTATGAAACATTAATGAATACTCAAAACAATTACTAAATGAAAAAATTACGCACTAACTTCTTCCAAAATATAGCTTATGAGGGTTGATTTAGGCAATGAGTGAACACAGGCCTCAACATCCTGATCCTTCATAGACAAATACATGTAAGTACACACACATTCCAAATCACCTGCATATTTCGGCCGTGGCCACAAGCGCCATTTCTGGCTAAGTTCCCTGACCATCTTCATGAGACTCATGGTTTACACACAAAATATCAATAATTTCACAGATAATTGCAAAATGTCAATCACATGTAAGGTTACATTTGGCAATGATACCTTCTCTTGACTTACCACGTCCGGAGTGCCATGCTTCAAATCAGGCTCTCCACTTTGGACTTCATCCTCTTCCTCAGCTTGTAAACCACTAAGATGTCAAAAAGCTAATAGTTTCACAAACATTATGAACTAAGTACACAAACATTTACAAAGACAAAATAACTGACGTGCAAAGTCATTTGGTAATCATACCTTCTGTTCGATGTCCACTTCTGGCATGTCATGCTCAGTACGCTGATTATCTTGAACAGAATCAGGCTTCTCTTCGACAGTGGGCACTTCCTGTTCAAAATGCAAACTCAATTACTTCACTGACAATTACAACTAAGTAGACATACAATAACATGTAGGTTCATAGACAATTACATATCATTCACAGACAAACATTTCGAAAGCATACCTTCTCTTCAGTGGGCACCTCCTTTTTGCCATGCAGAACCACCCCCGTCACCTTAGATAACATGTCTTTGACCTCACCAAGTGTGGCCTCAATGCCTCTAACACTACTCCTCAACTGTTCAATTTCATCCCTTGTTTTTAAAAGCTCTTCCAACACCTTCAATTTGCGAAAAAGTTTGACATCCTCAACTTCTTGACCATCACCTTCTTCTCCATCACCTTCCTCTTCACCATCTTCTTCTTCATCATCTTCTTCACCATCCTTCTCATCATCCTACAATCCATGTCAATTAATTAGATTTGAAGTTGTAATATTACTTCATGCATATTATTAAAAAAGAAAATTAATAACATCTGACCGTTTCTTCTAAAGGCTCATCGGTGAATACTAGTTCTTTCAAAGAAGAATAGTGGAAAAACCCAATAGCCTTCCAATTCAAAATGCTAGCTTGTTCGGATTTCACTTTTTCGCCGCATTTCCCCGCAAGTCCAGAGATTTTCTCATATGCCCAAACCTGTATAAACAACCAAAAAATAGTTAATCAAATGTCAGGCCACAGACAAATTCAGATTGTCACACTGACGATTTTGGAAAGAGATAAACCAAGTTAAAACCAACCTGCAACACGTGGGGTAAAGACCAAACCATGAACTTAGCGTTCTTGTAGCCAAGATTCTTAGCTAACGCAGCTTCAAACTTCTCCGGTTGACCACGCATCAACGACTTCAAATTGCTAACCATAAGGTTATAAGACTCGAGTGCCCAAGGATATTTTTGGATGTTCTCAAAGTCTTCAACCCAATCAAAATGCTCAGCATTGATCTTTGTGTTGTGGTCTCTAGTCAGCAACACACCATCAACCACGAAAAGGGAAGCCAACTTCACAAAAGCTAACGGGTCAATCATCTTCTTTGGATTCACTGCCTCCATTGTTTCCTTCAGCTCTTGGTACGTCACACGCTTGTTTCCTTTAAAGAATATATCTGCCACACTACCTTTCTCATTTTTTTAAACAAAAGTGGATCTGGTGGTGTACGCCGGCAGGTTGGTGATTTCACAAAAATCTTTAAAAGTGAACTTAAAGATCTTCCCTCATATGGAAAACCAAAGCTCATCCACGGGTTGTTGCCGAACCAGACGCAACAACAACATATGAACAATATGGCCAGAAAACTGCAATTCTGGAGTCTTAGCAAAATGACACCATGGTAGCTTCTGGAACAACTCTCGTTGACTGATGGGCATGAAGTCCAACAAGTTTTCCAATTTGCCAAAATATGTGCACTGAGAATACTGGGCCGGGAAATGGGACTTAACAGGAACAACTAGTTGATGCTTCATCCTACGAATAACACAAATGAAGTCATAATTTTTACACATTAATGACTTACATCAGATTCAATTCTACACCCCAAACCACCTGTGTACAGACCAAGTTGTGTTCAATCTCTCATACATAAACAACATCCAAATTAATGGACACTTAAGAACCCCAAATTCAATCAAATTTAATTGTATACTTCGAAAATACCCTATTCATTACAAAAAAATCTTGTTATCAAGGAAGACAAACAACACATCACAAACTACGGACAAATCAAGTCAAATGTAAATACAGAAAACGATTTTCATCATAATAAATGGTATAACCTAAACCGTCTGGCATAGACATTATCCATCGATCCCACAGACAAATTCAAAATTATACAATCCGGCCATTACAGTGTGCTTCTAACTTCATCAAACTCATATTTTCAAGCATAACTTTCAAAATACCAGAATGATTTCAAAAAAAACAAACACAAACCACACATTAGGGGGTCAAATTGAACAATACTACTCACAAATGTGTTCAAGAAGTTGATATTACCTTCTCTTTGAAGCCTCAGCCAAAGATGTCAGTGACGTACGGACCATTTCGCAGGTGGGTTCTTGAGGGTGGACGTCGACTTTCGCACTCACAGAGATGCTTCGCGACGAGCACGGTGTGTGCGAGAAGAGAATGCTTCAGGGGATGGACGTGGAGAGGTTAAGAAGAAGAAAGTTGTGGGGGAGATGTGCGCAGAGAACCGGCGAGGAAGAAGGAAGTGGCGAGGCGGGAGTTTTGGGAAAGGTTCGAACGTGGATGAGAGAGGTGGGGAGAGAAGGAAGTGGCGAGGCGAAAGTTTTGGGAAGAGGGGTTCGCACGTGGGGGAGAGAGGTGGGGAGAGGGGTAAAAAATTAAGTTTTGGCCTTTTATATGGTGTACAATTTGTGTACATCCAATGTACACTAAGCATTTTTGATTATTTAATGTGAGATAAATAACCTACACAACCTACGGCAATTTCTTTAACGCGAGATGTAGAAGACTTAAATTCACGATTGTATTGGAGCTTAAATATTATCTTAAATGTGTATCCGTCCACCTCAGTTTCATAGACCGTCTATATCGATGACATGTCCATTTTTATGAGGTACAATTTACTCTCCCATTAAAGATGCTCTAAAATGAGACTCATTCTCTCCTAATTAGAAAATTTTTATACTTCTAATAAGATCAAATGAGTCTTACTTTGAAATAGAATGTAATTAGTTTTATTTATGTACGATATCTATATTTTACTTTTATTTGGAGTGATTTCTTAAAAATTTATTGAAATTTATATTTTGGAAAATGCAAAACATATATTCCTATTTCAGCACTTGTGTAATGTTCTTCTCTGTATTTGGTGTAGTTTCTTAAGCACTTTTTATGATCATAATTCAACAATCTACCCATACATACAAAACATAAATTCCTGAGTGTAATAAAGTAGAGTGAATGGATTTGAGACCACCAAATTTAAATATGTTCATAATAATCGAATGATGAATGATGTAGAAATTATAAAAAAAATCCTCAAACCTAAAGATATAACAACTCAGTAATATACAGTGGTATTATACATGGATATTCTACACCTTCATCATTCCAGATACGTAGGGGATACCAGTAGGCTTAATCCAATCATCACCCTGAAGGAAAACTCCGGCGGTGAACTGTTTGGCAACCTGGGGAGAAATGTTCTTCTTGTAGCCCTTCCAGTTCACCCTTCCCGATGTTTTTGCTCCCGCCCCGTGGTTTTGATACTCTGCATACCAGCAAGTGTCCAGCCCAAAGTCACCCATCCATGGCGACCACCCCGCTGGGTCAATGAATCCGTCGATGTTCGACTGCATGATGACAGTCCTCGAGAACTCCTTCCACGGCCGACCCAAGAACACTTGGACAGCTGGTTTCACGGCTTTCAGTGCCGGGTCCGGTAGGATTTGGCAGTTCTGGAGAACCAGCCCGCCGACTCCCCTATGGTCCTTTCGGCCCTGGGCAGTTACCATGCAGGCTTGGTTCTCCAGCGGCTTCCTCACCACCATCTTGCAGTTCTGCAGGACGGCGGCTGCGTCACCGAAGATGAAGTCAATGGTCCCGGTGATGGTGCAGTCGCGGTAGTATTGGCGGTAGGAGTGGGTGTAGAGGGTGTCTTGGTAGCCATCCATGTGGCAGTTGTGGAACACGGCCATATCCGCAGACACCCGCAGTGCCACTGCCTGGTGCTTTTCTGGACCGGCCGTGTTCTCGAACCCGATGTCGCGTGCGATGAAGTTGTCGCCTTGGATCGCGACGGTTGCGGTCTTGTAGGTCCCGGTCCCGTCGACGTAATTCTTGTTTCCGGTGATCCTCGTCTTTGTGGGGCCCTCTCCAAGGAAAACGACCTTGTTCATCTTCCTAGGTACTAGAACATACTCCTTGTACACGCCGGCTTTAATGAAGATGACGACGGTGCGGTTGTTCTTAGGCGGGATTGATTTCAGAGCGTCGTTGATGGTTTTGAACTTCCCGGAGCCATCCTTGGCGACGACGATGTCGTGTTTTATGGATGCAGGGCTGGCGGCAAGGAGTCGCCGGGAGGCGGCGTCAAGAAACGTCGGGTAGTTGTCGTCATCAAGCTCCACCGCCGACGCAGACGACTCGAGTAACCTCCGGTTGAATCCGGGGATTTCCAAGGTCTGGATGAGGTCGGTGAATTGGGTGATCATGGCAAGACCATTGCTGCTAAGCTCGCCCGCGGTACGGAGGAGATGCTTCATTTTCTCACCGCTGTCGCCGGTGGTGTTCTCGAAGGCGTCAATGCAAGTCTGCTGGTGGGTGATGGCGCCGCTAAGCCAAACCTTGAGGTCGCTGGCGTATTCTTGGATCTTGGAGAGGTCAAAATCCTCAAGCTTATTGAAAGACCTCTTGAGATCATCAATGGAGTCTTCCAAAAGCTCCTTGCATGTTTCGAGAGCGCCGGAGGTTCTTGGGTCCTTGGCGGCATCATTGAGGAGGGACGACTTGGAGATGGCGTCGGTGATGTTCTTCACCGTCACTTGGAATGCGATCTTTATGAGCTCTTTTGGGTCGCTGGTGTTTTTAGCGCCGGAGAGACTCTCCTCACATGTCTCTTTGTAATCCGTCGGGGCACAAATGGTTTTGACCGATTTGGTCGTAGTTGAAATCCCGCCGGAGCTGGAACCGCCATCGGAGGACTTGCCTCCGCTGGTTTTGTGCATGGTGACCGTGGCAGCCACGACGCAAGCAACCAGGAGAACGGAAGCGACGCCGGCAACGACGAGCTTTTTCTTATTTCCGGCATCACCGGACCCCATTTTTTGTTTTTTTTTATATTTTTTTGTTTAATATTACAACTCTTGGATGGGGTCTTTTATTGGGATGCCTTTGACCCCCCTTATTGTTTATTTTTGGATGATGGTTGAATGTGAAGGAATGGAAGGCCTATTTATAAAGCTTAGATAAACAAACAAATAAACAATTTGAGGTTGAGAAATGATGCAACAAATAGATGGTGCTTAGTGTTTATAGGAATTTAAAGAGAACGCTCTCATCGGATGAATGAATGTGCATTAGGAAATGCAGCGCACAAGTAGATTGATTCATTGGTTTTCTATGGAAGCAGTAAATAAGGTTGAGAGTTCATTAAATGCATTAAAAAACGTAAGGTTGTTTGTAATTATTGTTGAGAGTTCCATCTCTTCACTTTTGTGTGACAAATACTACTTTAGTATTTTTTGTACATCGGAAAAGAATAATATCATAGTAACTTTACTAGTCAATCGATCCGCGCGTTGCATGGCAGAATTCGATTGCATCGTAAGATTCGTAACTCATTTCATAAATACTACTCCATACTTAATAAACTTTTTTTGTAAACCATATTTGCCATATGGTTTGGTAGTCCATTTCTGAGTTTAGTGTTCAATCTAATGTCATTTCCTATTTTGTTGTATATATAATTTTTATTATACTTAAAATCTATTCACAATTTTAATGAGAAATGTTATTGATGTTAAAATCTACTAACTAATTTGATAAGAAATGTTTAGTCCATATACCGTGCGCAAAAGTACTCAGGTTCAGTTCTGATACAGAACCGGCCAAATGACGAACCAAACTGATTTTATGGTTTCTAGAATTTTCAAAACCGAAACTGCATCAATTATAACTGTGAACCAATTTTTATTTCAATTATAAAAGTTTACAAGGTTCACAACAATTACACGATACTGCATACAATTACCCCTACTACAATGTTGCGCACTAAACATTTCATTCTGCCTCTGTAAGATGCAATGCTGACCTCGAATGAGTATGAGCTATGAGGTTGCAAAGCACCATCAGAAATAAACAGAACCGCCGTCCTAGTTGCCAATCGATATAACAACTACAACAACAACAAGAACACACAGGTAGACCGTGGTGAACCAAAATCAAACCATGTATGTCTTCCCAACTTGGATAATGTTCATGTGAGGGACCCGCAATGTCGCTGCCCCACCTCTGCAGTTGCTCCTCATAAATGAGTAAAAGTAATTGATTGCTAGTTTCTTGATGAACCAAGAGCTTTTCTTGGCCCTCACATCTGCATGCCCGAGCAGGTAGGTAAATCCCGATTCGGTGGCTTCCCGTAGAGCCGACAGCTCGTACTCCAACCCAGGATCTTCTTCTCCTGACATCACACTAGCCGGCAATAGAGGGTTCCCTGTTCCTTCCCATCTATTATGATGATCCTGCATCATCAATGGAACCCTGAGATCCTCCATCCCGTTGTTGTCTTCTACAGAAGACTCGGTCTCCCTTGACTTCACTGACACGTCATCAGTCTGGTTTGTTAGACTGACAGTCTCGAGGGCAAGCTCTTGGGCCTCTTTCCTCAAAAACTTCTCAAGGCTATCCAGCAGAAGTTGCTCAAACGCTTGATGGTTTTCTTTCCTGACGTCTTTGTAACCGTACCTGTTCGAGAATTGAGATCAAATGTTTATTACAGT